CCCAGCACGAACCCAACCTGGCCCGGTCATTAACATGTCTAATTGGGAATTAGGGTAAGATTTAGTCAATCTCAATCACCTAGACCTAGTTGGTTAGAATTGATCATTGATTTGTTTTGAAACAATTGGCTTGCCGAATGCATGCATTCAACTTTATCTGGGAATTACGAAAATAAGTGATAAAGTTGGACCACTTTTACTTAAAAAAGGGCCCCCTTTCCTATTCCTAAACAAGTCTACTTCCAGTTCAAGGTGACGGTGATGCCGTATGTCACGTTAAATGCATGGTTGGGCATGATTGGAGTAATTTCATTTCCAAATTCCAATCACTTGTATTAAGTCTTATCTTCATTGTTGTTTGGTTTTGTAGCACATTGTACACATCTTTATTTGTGGTTAGGGATGTTAATGGGTCGGAGTAGATGGTAAGTCCACAAAGATATGCTCCAATCGGGTTAGGATTGGATCAGCCTTGATTGGGTTTCGTGTCAGGCTAGGGTTGGGGTAGACTTACCTGAACCCAACCAAATTTTTGAAGCCCAAACCCGACACATTGACATTGTAGTTTTGAAATATTAGTTCATATATTATTGTCTATTGAGCATAGGTATACCATACATGAGGTGGGTTGGAGTGGGTTTTGTATCCCTTCTCCATTCAATCGGGCTGGGTTGGATTTGGGTTAACGTTGCTTCAGTTTGGGTTCGAGTTGAGTCAAACCGGTATCAAATCCAACCAGTTGACATCCCTATTTATAGTTCATCTTGTTTGGATGCAAAGACCTCAAATTAGTTGAACATGATTGCTGTATTAAGGGGATGTGCTGTTTTCCTTGTGAGTTCCTAAAGCCAATTAAAATAATCTGGGTTAAAAATAATTTGTTTCTTAAAACAAAAACATGAAAAACATATTGTTATATATGTGTTTTTTATTTCTAAAATTGAAACCAAAAATATATTCTTGAATTTCTGATTTGAAAAACATGTTTTTATTTTAAAACATATAAAGTCATCATTTTGATGGTTTTAAAAACATATATTATTATTATTATTATTATTATTATTATTATTATTATTATTGTCTTTTAAAAACATATAAAGTCATCATTGATTTTAATAAAATCAATTTATTTTTTATTTTCAAAACAAACACAGTTCAATGACATATTTTTGTCTTTTTTTTTCTTGATGTGGCAATTTCAAAAATAATCGACGACTGTCATGGGGTGTTCTTAATGGTTATACGGCCATTAACGAAGTTTCGAACTCTGGCAGCTACCAATATTGTTGATTTTGTATGGCTTCACCAACTACATTTTTTTTTTAATTATAAGTGGAGGCCCATCATCAGATAGTCAGATGGACCGAAAGCCTAACTAACACGGCATGCTCTAGGAGTGAAAGTGATAGAGATAGCAAGTGGGGCTCTTCATCTCCATTAATTCTCTTCTCCACTTTGGAACCTTGGCTTTTGGTACTTGCTACTTGGGGACGACTCCATGAGCAGTCAGCATACGTTAAGAACCTCAAAAATAATGGAATTAGTCTTCTGATTTCAGAATTTTTAGATTAGAGTTGGTAGGCTTTTACTCGGGTTTGTTTGGGCGTGACAGTGGGCTTGTTATTACGTTAACATCTTCTAGAAAACTATACCTCCACCTACTCTCCCTATCATTCATGGCTTATCTGTCCTCATGTGATGTGTGAATTTTATTTATTTTTTGAAATTTTCTTTGTTTCTAGCCAATCTACTTATCTACCTAGTTACCGGCTGCTTTTGAGGCCCTGCTTGAGCTTTTATTTAAGACCCTTGAATTTATTTTTGATGCAAGGGCGGCTATCTTAAAACAAACTAAAAAAACTAATCCAACCGCACATTGGGAATCTAGATGCACATTATACTCTATTATGAGAATCTAGATGCACATTGGGATATCTCATTATAAATTTAATGTACATGTATCAGAGATATTCTCATTAACCCAACCGCACATTGGGAATATCTCTCTATAAATTTAACATACATGCATCAGATATATTCTCAACAATCCAGCCGCATATTGGTTGCAGGTAAGGGTGTCAATGGATCGGTTTTGGATTGGACCCCATCTAATTCAAAATTAATTTAGACGGGCCAATAAGACATATTAGATTGGACCAATCTGGTCCAAAATATTTATTAGATTGGGTTGGACCAATCCGTAACAAATTTATATTGAATAGGGTTGGATTAAGTCAATATCTAGTCCATTAATGTAAAACAAGAATATATGTGTCATGAATTTGAACAGATCGAACAGTCCAGATATTGAATTGGAACGGACCAAATTGGTCCAAAACATTTATTGGATTAGATTGGACCTGGTCCATTTATAATGAACTCACATTGGACTGAATCGAATTGGACCAAATCCAGTCCAATTGACACCCCTAATTGCAGGAGATTCAGGATCCAAATGAACACTACCCAATATGTAAAATCGAAAGCTCTAATAGTCATCTTTTCTTGACAGCTTTGAAGAGCAATTTGTTCTTTGAATTCCCTTCCTAAAGGCGCCAAGGTGGTTCAGGAAGCTATGATAAGAAAAGGCCAGGTGGCAATTGACAGGGCGATGGCATTCAAAGTACAGAAAATTTCTTTGCCAATAGGTGCATTCATCATAAAAATTTATTGACCTACAGACTTAGCCACCAAAGAAAAGGTAGGGACTAGTTATAGTCATCATTTACCTGACCCACGCAGCCCTGCTTTTCTGCCTTGGGTTATAGTTATGTACTTATGCGGGCTGTGAATCTGTGGACTCTATTGTGCTTAATGGACCAAGCAACCACATTGACGGGGTAAACCCAACTGGTTCTATGTTATTGCAGTGGGCCAATATTAGCTTTAAAATATTGCTTTAATGAATGAATGAATGATGTAATTGGGTTAACTAATATCCAGCCCATGATAGAGCCCCATTGACTTGGCTTGCTTCCATATTGTCTTCAAATTTATGTTGGTATATTCTAATTAGGTGATAAAATATGAAAAAAAAGGCTTTGAAATAAGGCGAATATCAAGAAAATTCTGCCAAGGGAAAAGGCCAATTGATATATTAGGTGAAGAGCGTCTTATTTTTATAATCTGTCTGGTTTCTTTTGATTTGATGTAGGAAGAAAGGAAATGACTTAGGGTGAGATTTTTAACTTTATGTGGGCTACGATGTGCATGGATATGGACTTTTCAGTAAATAACAAGTGGTTGGTGAATGATGTTAATCGACTTTGACCATTTTCAATAGAGAGGATTGGTCGATTTTTTCATCTTTCTACCCAAGTTAATTGGTTTTGTTAAGAAGAGATTTTGACCACAAATGATCAGTAACGGAATTATTTTATCCCTAAAAATCTGTTTATGCACTTGCTAATGACCAAGCTAGGTTTGACGGGGCTTCAATTTGACTACTGAACCATGTTTTTTTCTTCAATAATGGAGATTACGTATTGTTAGTAATTTATTATTTGGTTATGTATGGAATTTTTAGGTTGAGTGTTAAAACTTTTCTGCATTTAGGCTGTGTTTGGTTTGAAGGAAAAGGGAACTGGAAAGGTAGTTTCCCTAATCCCTACCTTTCCCTCCCTTTTCCTTCAAACCAAACATATTAATGTAAGTGAAATAATTTTAATTTGGAAGAAGTACGCTAGGGTCATCGATTCACATTGAAAAAAAAATGTGGAGATACCGTATGGTTTATAGTTTAGTTGGAAGCCTATATACTTCATTTTTCCCATTATAATAGAAGAACTGTATATATGATTCTATTTCTCCATAATCCTGTGAATGGGCCGGGCCGGCCGGGTTGAATCAGGGTAGATCGGGTCTTGGCCCAATAAACAAATATGCAGAGGCCAGTTCCAAACTAAAAGCCTATAGTGTATGTAATAACAGACAGAACCAACCAATTTGTTAATTGGAACAATTGGGTCTGACCTATTAAGCCACAATTATAATTAACAGTTAATGAATTTGACAATAAACCGGCTTATTTGTTAAATTGGCACGTACAAACATCATATGATAATATAACATGGAGCGATCAAACCAATCATTTCCCAACTGGTTATAAGTTCTAGCATGGAGAGAGCTATATATCTTCTTTTGATTTTTTTTTTTTTTGTATATACGTATTACAGATAGCAACTTTTTAATTTTTTATGGGTATACTTCTTTCTCATTAATTTATGTCTTCTCTACGTGCAATATTAATATAGAAACAATCTAGATTTGGAAAATACTCTTCTAAGTTACTTCCCAAATCTTAATTCTATTAGACTCATACCTCATATGCTCCAGTGCTAGTTCCACTTTCGAAGATAAAATTCTCGTTTCAGTTTTCCACGTGTCATTCAATCATTTAGAGTTTTCTTAGGAGGCCCAATACTCCCATAACAGTGAAGCTGATGATCTTCCCAGTTATGCAATTATTAAACTATATTAAGGATCCGTTTGGCAAGGATGAAGTAGATAACATGATTACATGAGTCGTGACCACCATCCGGGCTCCTCTCTCAGCCACAGTGACAGTGCAACCCAACAAGTTGGGCATCGCTAGAATGAAATCCAAGAGTTGCACGCACTCACAGTGCCTCGTTGTTTTCTTATATTTATATCTGATTTCATTCTCTTTCTCTCAATTGATTCTTTTGGCCTTTGCCGTTTCAGGCCATTGACTGTGGCGGTTCCTGCCGTCCACCCGGGAAACCAATTGCCGTCCCATTCTTCCCCGCGTAAAAAATCAATAATATATCAATTCACCTCAAAGGAGATTCTCTTGCATCATCATCATTTATTTTCGATTTTCCCACTTTCCCTTCTTTTTCTTTTTTGCTGGTTAAAACTTTTCCTTCTTATTACTTTACGACTTTAAATTCTCAGTATTAGTATAACGTGCCACCTAACTAGATAAAGACACTACGCACAGTGCCAAATAAGAGAGATAGAGAACTTGCTTTTGTTGTGGTTGTGGCTGCAGACGAGTTTCGGGATGACTCACTTGATCTATCGTCTCGTCTGGGGGAAGTTTCGCAATTCGCATCATCAGAAGAAGGAAAGGATGGGAAGGAAGAAAAGGAACTCGCCTTTATTTGGTCCCCTTTACTGTGTGTAGTGGTTTCTGTCTATTTCCGTTAGATTTCGGACGCGTTCGACGACTTGTTTAAAATATTCGTGAAGTCTTACACTTGTGCCCGACTGCTGGAGCTTCTGATATAAAAAACAGTGTCTGTGACTGTGAATCCAATTTCGTTTCCCGCAATGAGGGGTCTGTCTCACCGTGACAGCCCATGGGCGTCAGATACGGCTTCCGAGAAAACAACCAGTGTAGGATCATCTCCCCGGACGGATTATGAATCAGCGGAGGAGTTCCTCCAGGTGACGCTTGATCTCCAAGATGACGATACCATCATTCTCCGAAGCGTCGAATCGGCTACCGTCATTGATATAGATTTGGAAGTCTCCATCGGAAGTGAGACGGAGACGCCAGCATCATCGAGATCGCCCACGGTTAGGCGTAGTTCTTCCAATCGGCTACGTCAGCTTTCTCAGGAGATTATAGCTGAGCTTAAGAGGTTCTCGTGGGGCCAGCATGGCCGTGCGTCTCGAACGCCGTCTGCTTCTGCCTCGCCACCCTCTGCCGCCCAGAATGGTGCCGGCACCTGCTCCGCTTTAGATTCAGTTTTGGCCGCTCGAGATCTCCGGAAGCAACGAGCGCAGCTCGAACGATCTAAACCCGGTGCTGAAAGAGCTCTTCGAGGGCTGAGATTCATTAGCAACAAAAGTAACCAAGGCGTTGACAAGTGGAATGAAGTCGACAACAACTTCAATGAACTTGCGCAGGACGGTCTTCTCCACCGTTCAGATTTTGCACAATGCATAGGTTTTCTTCTTCTTCTTCTTCTGTAATTCTGTTCTCTCTTAGCTTTCATGCATCCGTCCAAGGAAAAAAAATCTGATGTTTAAATTTAGAAAAAAGAAGTATTGTTTTCCCTTTCTGTGTTGTTTGAAGGAATGCGAGACTCGGAGGAATTTGCGCTGGAACTGTTCGATGCATTGAATAGGAGGAGACGGATTAAGATGGATAAGATCAGCAAAGAAGAACTTCACGAGTTCTGGTGTCAAATTACCGACGAGAGCTTCGATTCTCGGCTCCAGATCTTCTTCGACATGTGTGCATTCAAACGAACTCAAATAGTTCTTTTATTATTTAGTCAATCCGTATTATTATATTTATGCTTGACATATATACATCGTACATTAATGCAGGGTGGACAAGAACGAAGATGGACGAATCACTGAAGCAGAAGTGAAGGAGGTATCTTATTCTTATTATTGTCTTTACCACCTCGTCTCGTTGTCGTGCTTACACACTTTTATTTTCTCTATATATTATTTTAACCAACTCCCACTACTAATCAACCTCAACCTCCGTCTCCGTCAAATATTTACCGGTTTCTTGCGTGAAGAAGTACACTGTGTTGGAGCAGAAAATAGTAAAACCACTCTCCGATAATCAGATTCCGGCGATATAGAATAGGGAGAAGTACCAATCAGCCCAGATCAGAATTTACTAGACGAAGCCTCGACCATTTCCCAGGGGATAAGCACTTGGAGCTAGGGAGTAGGGACAGGGTCTCTTTAATTTTAATTTATTAATTAAACACCGATAGATAGGGATTTGGTGAAGTTAACAAGGACGAAGATATCGAAACCAACAACTCCAACCTGCTTCTGCTTGTGCTTAAGAAATTAAGGCTGTGTTTGGTTAAAAGAATGAGTATTTGAAGAACGGGTTTCCTAGAATGAATTATGAGCCCGAAGAAGAAGCAATTTTCCTACATCCGGTTTTATATAGGCTATGTTTAGTTTGATAAAACAGAAAGTTGAGGGAATCAGCAGGGAAACGTAGGTTAAGGGTGTCCTAAACACACCCTTAGTTTTTTCTTTTTTTTTTTTTTTTCTCTTGTTTTCTAACAAACGAAACGTAGCCTTAGTTTTTAGAGGTGGAGACTGGGGAGGAATGGTTTCGGTCAAATGGAATCGGTAGGAGTCTTTTTCAGTAAGGTAGGTCAAGGATATTATTGACATTTAAAGTTGGGTATCTTTGTTTCTTTATTTGCATGTATATATTAATTAAAAAAGTGGTGTGGATTTGTAGATTATAACGTTAAGTGCTTCTGCAAATAAGTTGTCGAGACTGAAGGAACAGGCGGAGGAATATGCTGCTTTGATCATGGAAGAGCTAGATCCTGAAAGGTTTGGATACATCGAGGTGGGTAGTCTGATCTGGTCCTCATTGGCCCATTACATAAACACTCTTTAATGTATTTATCACATAAATGGGCCTAAAATGAAGTGGGTCACTATATTCAATTGAGCACTACTTGTTGACCGACCAAATCATCCATTCACCCCTCTCGCCTCGAGTTCGGATCTCCTGCCCACATAAATTTTGTTCACGTCTGTCCACATAACATCCCAATCACACATGGTCATCCTCTACCTAATATTATATAGAGGTAGATATTCTCAATTTACGGAAATAATATATGATGGATAGACATGGGCAGGTGATTCGGAGTCTCTCGCCTCTCGGTTTTGTTTGGGGTTAATGTACGTATTTTGGTTTCATTTTTGTTTCCGTTTTGTACACGAGAACTGGCACGTGATTATGGAGGGTTGGACTTGGGAGAAAAATTGGAAGGGAAATGGTGACAATAATATAATAATTACTAAAAAAAGGTAGGAATAAGAAAGGTGTATGAAAAGAAGAAACATAATTAAGAAATTAAGGTGACGCAGGCCTTCCCTTAAAAAATAAGGGAACAATATAGATATGTCCCTCACTATTTAATAACATTTCTCTTTCAAGTGTCCTTTTCTTGTAACGTTTTTAGGTAAGGGTTCTTTTCTTTTCTTTTTTTTTTTTTTTTTAAGCATGCCCCACGAAATTATCCATGTATTCTGAAAGCATTATCATCCATTGCCACATTGTAAATATCTCACATGTATATTATTTATAGGGAGTAAGTGGGTAACTGATAGCCATCCATACATTTTCTGATTCTTATGTATCCGTAGAGGTGTATTCATATTTTAAATTATATTTCTATTCTTTTTAGTTTTTTTTATCAAATATCAATTTTAAATATATATCATTTAGAAAAAGATTTTCAAAACACCTATATCTGAGACCCATTAATACAAATTCCAAGGTTTTAAAAATTGACCCGGAAATAAAACCGTTCTAACTCCCAATTTCTGGATCAGCGGTTCAATCATCCGGATCAAACAGTTTGGATATTAGGACAAATAAACATTTGCCCTAATATGCAAACCTCATATAAGATAGAAGAGATATCGGCTAGGAAAGCCAGAAAGGAGAAAGGAGAACTGTTGTTGGCTGAGATAGAAAAAAAGAAAGAAGAAGGAAGGAGAGGAGGGAAGAAGACGGAAGAGGAGGATGATGATTTGATGCTAACTGGCAACGATAGCAGCGACAGCGACGGCGAGGCGGTGGCAACAGATGCTATGTCCCAGATCTGAGTTCTCGGATCTCAGATCTGAGATCAATTTATCTAAAATTCTTCTTCTTCTTCTTCTTCTTCTTCTTCTCTTTGTGCTATGTCCCAGATCTGAATTTGTGTCTCAGACTAGATCTCAGATTTGAGTTCTCTCTTTGCAACTTTATATTTTGAATCGCTGGTCGGGTCAAACGAGTCGGCGGTTCGATTGCCCATATCAGCGATTTTCTGATGAAATCAACGATTTTTTACCCAATAACAGGTTAGGGGTGAAACAGAATCAGTTGCTTGGACTTAATGGTGTGAATTGTGAAATGAGTCGTAGTTTTGTTGCTTATGCTCAATTTGAAAAGAGTATAAATACAAATATGTACTGTAAAAATACATACAAAATAATACAAAATACAAGGTTTTTCACTTTATATATTTGTATTTGTACTCCTTTCAAACTGAGCATTTCATTCTGACCATGCCCATCTGCTTTTCAATGAGTGGTGCTACAATCTGATTATGGTTTGATCATATGTTGCTTACTGCGCGTGGTGGATTCTGGGTTGTGATGCAGCTATGGCAACTAGAGACCTTGCTGCTGCAGGACGCGTACTTGAATTATAGCCAAGCATTAAGCTACACGAGCCAGGCACTGAGCCAGAACCTGCAGGGGCTGAGGAAGAGGAACCCAATTCAGAGAGTGAGAACCAAGGTGGTGTACTACCTGGAGGAGAACTGGAAGAGGGTGTGGGTGTTGGGGCTGTGGGTGGGTATCATGGCTGGTCTCTTCTGCTGGAAATTCTTTCAATACAAGCAGAAGAATGCATTCAAGGTGATGGGTTACTGCCTACCGACGGCCAAGGGTGCGGCCGAGACCTTAAAGTTCAACATGGCTCTCATCCTGTTTCCAGTTTCCAGAAACACCATAACCTGGCTCAGGTCCACCAAGCTCGCCCTGTTCCTTCCTTTCGATGACAGCATCAATTTTCACAAGGTAAACCTTCGGTGCTTCTCTCCCACAATTATCACGTTTTTACACATTTTCTTGGACTATTTACTAAAATATCCTCTATAGTTTCATGAATTTATTAAATCCAATCGTTTTAACTAAAGTATCCCCTATAATTTTCAATCAATTTACTTAATCGACCATTCATTAAATAAAAGCGGGAAATGACAGTTTTAACCCTAACATCCATTCAAATAAATTTAATGAAAAGAAAGTAAAAACAAAAATGTCATTTTTGCCTTAAATAAAATATGGACAACCATTTTACTTTTTTCTATTTGGTCAATTTTGTTTTCTGTACAAAAAAAAAAGTACTAGAGGTATTTTTGGAATAAACAGACAGATCCATACCTTTGAATATTTTTCACTCAATTTAAGGGTACTTTGGAATAAAAAACCATGGATCCATGACCTTGAATATTTTCCACTTAGTTTGAGAGTATTTTTGAAATAAACAACCCTAAGTCCATGCCCTTAAACAAATTGCTGCACAATTCCAGGAGATTCCTCTGGATCTCAGGATGGTTGAAGCTGAGCGTGTTGGATGTATGTACTTCCCTTGATTCTGACACGTGTGCTCCTGGATGACCAGGACCAATTTGTCATTGTCTTTTTTATAATGGTGGATAAACAAATGCTCTTTGTGCATGAATGTTATGTATAGTGAATGTATTGTTTTTTGTTTTTTCATGAAGGGTTAGTTTGAAAAGAGCACAAATACAAATATGTATAGTATAAATTATAAGGTTTTGTACTCTATATATTTGTATTTATATATTTTTTAAATTGAGACCAGATATAAAAAAAATAAAAGAATTAATATATTTTTTATTGTTCATTGGACAAGTTGGTTCTGGTTCAGGTTGGGTTCAACTGTTCAAGTTAAGCCAAACCTGTTCCAAAGCCAATCAGATTGTCTTATGTAGAGGAAGAAAGGTTTCGGCTTCATTTCGAAAAGTATAGAGAAAGATTAGGTAATTTCCATTTGAAGAGATAATTGAGGGTTTGTGTTTTTCAAAACAAAATCCCACTGCAATTAATAATTTATTTCAATTCACTTCCATTCAGATTAAATCCGACACCCATCCGACTATCCGAGTCAGTTATATCGGATTTCCGATTTGAAGTTTCAATAACTGAATTGAATACGGATGTGCAGACCATAGCGGCAGCAATCGTGGTAGGCGTTATTCTTCATGCCGGAAACCACATCACTTGTGACTTCCCACGTCTCATTCATGCCTCTAGCGGCGAATACGAAGGTTACTTGAGAGATGATTTTGGGGATCACAAGCCCACGTACGGGAAACTGGTCCGAGGTGTGGAGGGCATCACTGGAATCCTGATGGTGCTGTGCATGGCAGTCGCCTTCACCCTTGCGACGCGGTGGTTCAGGCAGAGCCGTGTTAGCCTCCCTATGCCGTTCCACAGGCTCACCGGCTTCAATGCATTCTGGTATTCGCACCACCTTCTTGCCATTGTCTACACATTGCTCGTCGTTCACGGCACCTTTCTCTACCTCGTCCACAAATGGTACCTCAAGACGGTAATCGCTAAATTAACATTTCATTACTGGTTTCTTTGGTAATATGCACTTTAGTTGGTGGTTTAACTTTTGAGTTGTGTTTGTTTGTAAAACATGCAGACGTGGATGTATCTAGCTGTTCCTGTTTTGCTTTATGCCGGAGAGAGGATCCTGCGCTTCTTCCGCTCTGGCTTTTACTCTGTTCGCCTACTGAAGGTAATCACTTATCCTGATAGCATGTTAATTTGCCAGGGTCTCGAAAGTGGGCCCAATTCAGAACCATCTGAATGTGTGCCAAGTGTTTGAAACTTTGAAGCACTGGTCCAAATTCAGAATGAGAAGTGCTACCCCTGTTCTAGGGCTACTGAGTGAAATGATCTATATATTTTGGTGGTTGCCAGTGTGAATGTTTCTGCAATTCGTGAGAAAAACAGCGAAGAAAGAAACAAATTCATTGTTCTTATAACAATATAAATGATAAAAATCATTGTAGACTTCTAAATCTCAAGATTATAAAAAGGTCTAGCTTGATAAAGTATCTTATATTGGCTTTAATTTTGATGGGTGGAAAATACTAATGTGAATATCTTTTCCTAGTGATTGACATAGACTACTCAGTTACTAGAGGTTGGGGACTTGGGGTCAAATTTAATAATTCTGAAATTTTAAAGATACTTAGTGATTATGCATTATATCCCCCTTGACTGTACCTCTATTTGAATCAGTTGCTCATATGGATCTAGGATCTACTTTTCCAAGTTGAACCTGAAGATCACTTAATACCTGTTAGAACTCTCACGTAGGGCCATCATTGCTTACCAGTGTTTGTGCAATTGTGACTTACACTTTGTTTCACGCAAGTGGGTTGCTTGGCTGAATGCAATATTCCCAAATATTAGCAACCGAGGTGTGCAACCGATACTGCCTTGGCAGTGCATACCTCAGTAAACCTTAATTCCAAAAAAGGCATTAGCCAATTCAACCGGTTCTATCATCTATGGCCAAGTATATTCCTAATATTTGGGGAGCATTATGCATAAGCAAGATCCTTGCTGTTGATTGATGCTATGGGCAGGCACCCGTTGGGACATGCCTCTGTTGACTGCCTTTATGTTGCCTTTTTTTTATATATATATTATTTATTTTTCAAAGCAATTATTTGACCCAATTGATTTTTTAATTAAAAATTTCAGGTTACCATTTATCCAGGTAATGTTCTCGCTTTGCAAATGTCCAAGCCTGCCCAATTCCAGTATAAAAGTGGCCAGTACATGTTCGTCCAATGCCCGGCTGTGTCTTCATTTGAGTGGTAACTTTACAACAGTATCACTTATTTTGCACATAATCAATTAATATAGACACTGCATATCTGTTTTGGTATCCAAGCCATTTCATATTCGAGTCACCGGCTGTGTCTCCATTTGAGTGGTAACTTTGCAACAGTATCACTTATTTTGCACATAATCAATTAATATAGACGCTGCATATCTGTTTTGGTATCCAAGCTATTTCATATTCGAGCCATCTGAGAATCTTTTATTTTGCAAATTAAAGCACTGATTTGTTTTTACGAATTTATTTTCTTGATGCAACTGTAATGGTTAAATTTATTGAATTCTTGCTTATTTTTTTCCTAATGAGAATTTAGAATGTAATAGGGATGCTGAACAACATATGAATTCCTAATGTTTTCAACATAAGAGCATTATAAAGTATTTGATGTTGCAACTGCACTGGTTTATTTAAACAAGATTATTAACTCGTATGTACAAGTTCTCAAGTCGAAATGCTTAGTCACTAATAGAGGCCCTTAGCAATTCAGAGCTGGGTTTTAGAGTTTGAAGTCCACCTTCACAAAACAAATTTGATAATCGCTAGCCCACTTCCCCTCCAGGAGAATTAAAGGGGGGGGGGGGGGGGCGGAGTTCAAAGGAAAAAGAAAAACCTCACTATGCAGAAAATTTTTGGAATTTTCCCAACCTTTGGCCACAGATTCTTATTTAATGGTCACGATCTTCTCTCAGATATCAGTAACACTTCAACCCAACCCAGAAATTATTTTAGTACTACTCAATATTGTTTCTAAACTTTGACATATAATTATTTGATAATATTTGGTGTAGATGTCTTTCTATGCGAATAATTTGCATGTTATGCTGTTAAGATATTGCCAACATTGATTTTCATACTACAGGCACCCGTTTTCAATTACATCAGCTCCTGATGATGATTACTTGAGCATCCACATCCGGCAGTTAGGTGATTGGACAAAAGAGATCAAGAGGGTATTTTCAGAAGTATGTGAGCCACCTGTTGCTGGGAGAAGTGGGCTTCTTAGAGCTGATGAAACAACCAAGAAAAAGTATATAACATATTCTAACCTGCATTGAATTCAATATTTTTCTATTTTCTTTGTGTAACACTGACTCAATTTATATCCTTTTCTGAATCTAGTTTTCCAAAGCTCTTAATAGATGGGCCTTATGGAGCTCCAGCACAAGATTACTGCAAATATGATGTATTGTTACTTGTTGGGCTTGGAATTGGAGCAACACCTTGCATCAGTATTCTGAAAGATTTGCTGAACAATATAGTCAAGATGGAGGAACAAGCAGTAAGTAACCCAAATCCATAGAGACCTTAGCAAAATGCCATCCTCCCCACTCCCATCCTTGGCTGGAAAAAGAAATGTTTTTTGTTGAACCATTTCTTCCACTTTAGCCACACAGGATTTTAAGCTATTGATTTTTCCATACGACATTTGTTTACATTCTGTAAGTTGCTTCTTTCTCTAGTTTTATTCTCTACATTTTCAAAACCAACCTGTTTTCTTTTTCTCTTTTTTAACGTACTGATAACTTTGCTGAATCTCAGTAATCAAGTCTCATGGACTCACCATCAGGTCTCCAGTTAGTAAAGCTTCCTGTCCTATTTCTGGGACAATACTAAGTGGAAACAGAAAATACTTCAAAGTCAACCAAAATAAATGAACATGATCATAGGAGTTTAAGACTTTTCTGGACTATACACAATATCTATTCCCATAATCTGAAAGAGTAGCTATTAGGGATGTTATTTGCAAAATGTTTATCTTGGACATTGCTTGTTGCAACCCTTATAGGGAAAATTAGGGATTATGTCTAATTCCATTTATCTTTTGATATTTAAAAAATTAAATTGTTAAAAATTCCATTTTCTTTGCATCGAAGGATACTGATATTAGAAAATGAATTTTCCACATCTTAGGATTCAATCTCAGATTTCAGTAGGTCTACAGATCAGAGTGCTGGATCCTCAGATTTGTCCTTTTCTAGCAAAGTCTCTCCAAGGGGAAGAAAAACTGCAAAGACAACGAATGCCTACTTCTACTGGGTGACAAGAGAGCAGGATTCCTTTGACTGGTTCAAAGAGGTCATGGATGAAGTTGCCGAGCTTGATCAGAGGGTAAAAAAATAAACAAAATGGATGATTAGGCTCCTTTGTATTTTGAACTTCACTGATAAGATTATTGTGCTTATTTTTTAATATTCTTTTCATGCTTCAGGGTATGATTGAGATGCACAATTACTTGACAAGTGTCTATGAGGAAGGGGATGCCCGTTCTGCTCTTATCACCATGGTGCAAGCGCTCAACCATGCTAAGAATGGCGTTGACATTGTTTCTGGAACTAGAGTAAGACTTGTGATGTGTTATGAATGATTGGATTTATGAATTTACTTTACACCATACCCTTTGTAAAAGTGGTAGGGTGTAACGTTTAACCCAAGTAATCTGGGATTTCAAATGTTGTTGCCTGGTGGTATCCTGATTTAACATGATTCAGAACTTATGAGTTTATTTCTTTTGGTTTTGGGTTGTGTGGTGGACCTTAATAGATTTGTTAAATCCTGATATTCCAATTCAATGCCATTGACAGAAGGGATGCACCACTTACTTCCATCTTGGTATCTGAACAAGTTCAGAAGTTGTTGGATCCCATCTTTGCACTACTGGATCAGCTGAAGCTTTGGCTGGGATAGGTGTTTAAGCAGTTGCCCCTATTTGTGAAGTCCCTGGCCTTGCTATTTAGTGGATTGAGACGATAAATGACTTGTTCTTGCGTTCTAACTCATAGTTTTGTTTTCGTTGTTCATTTTCTTTCCTGTGTCATATGCTTTCACTTCATTTCCTTTTGGTTCTTGGAGTTTTGGTTGATCGGTCTCTGTCCCATGTTAGAGGGTATATAGGCATTAGTTGTCTAATTCATGTTTAGTCGGTTGACATGGTTAATTTTCTTCTGTAGGCTTGACTATGTTGTTACATATCTGACAAAATAGGGAGAATGACTAATCAGCCCAGATCAGAATTTTATAGCTCCAAAGTACAGGGGGAATGCATCCTGACCGTGAATTGATGCCAAATTCATGGGCAGGGTGTGGTTTATAGGTGGGAGAGGGCTAGTAGTAGGGGGGGGGGGCTGGAATTCAGAATTCTGCATCGTGTGTATCCGTACTTGTCCGAAATATATTTCCGAATTCTTCAATGGGTAGATATGGACATTGTAAAGGATCAAGATACATCCATCTATCTTGACTCTTTCAAGGGCTTGAATTTTAGAGTAATTCCCATCTGGAACTGATGGGTGTCACATCTAGCGATTGTTTTCATCAGAATGACGAATAATCTAGCTAAACTGTCAGATACATGAACGCAAGTTAAGGAGATAAATAGCATTAAAGTAATTTGGCATCATATACTGAAGGTTCATCAAAAGTGGGATGGTGGTCAAATCTTAGTTATTTCTTTTACCAAACTTGTACTTTTTTATTTTTTTTGTCAGGAGAAAAACGGATACTTGCTGGATATTTAGTAACTGGTTTTGTTTATCTTCTCAGGTGAGGACCCATTTTGCGAGGCCTAACTGGAGGAAGGTCTTTTCCAGAACATGTTCGAAGCATCCCAATGCTAAGATAGGTGAGTTAAATTGCATCAACATCAATGGAGTGACTTTGGTTATTTGTTACCATGATTTTCTTTTTCTTGTTCTTATAGTTAAGATTTCCCTTAATTGGATGTAATAATTGTGATTTTATTGGTGTGACTTCGATATCTCGAGCAGGAGTTTTCTACTGTGGGGCACAATTATTGGCCGAAGAACTAAGGAAGCTCTGCCATGAATACAATCAAGAAGGCTCCACCAAGTTGGAGTTCCACAAGGAACATTTCTAGTGCTCGGAGTCGTGTCATTGTCTCCTCTTCATCGCCATGTGGTTGTTGGCAACCAAAATGGATGAAAAAAAGAAAGAGTGGTAATAGTGTACAGCCGTGAAGTAAAGAAAGAATAAAGCGCCGCATAAAGGAGGTTTAGGTAGTGAAATTAGTTGGTTGGAATGAACAGGGATGGGCATGGCTGTGGAGCTTTTTGGAAGGAGAGGAGTTGGTCTTATAATAGATCAATGGTTGTCTAGTAGGTGGACGGATTTGGGTTCGTGGATCGGGTGGATTTGTCTTCATCTTTGATCGTTGGTGGGTCGGGCGGGTTCTTCAAGTTCTAGGGGAGATCGGCTTCTATCAGGGCAAATCTGTGCCCACACAGTTCTAACAGCATTTTGCAACTTTGCATTGGGAATATCTCTTCATGAAATAAAGTATACAGGTATGGAGATGTTCTCAATGCAAGGCAGTAAAGACTGTTCGAATGGGCTTTGCCCTGACTGAAGCCAAACATGTTCTAGGGAATTGACGTGGTGTATCATTAACTTAGAGTTTGGCTTCAGTCAGGGCAAAGCTCATTCGGGCCGCTTTTACTGTCTTGCATTGAGAATATCTCCGTACTTGTATGCTTTATTTAATGGGGAGATATTCCCAATCCAAGGTTGTAAAAGGCTATTAGAATGGTGTGGGCACAAATTTGCCCTGATAGAAGCCGATCTCCATTACTTGCACAATATTTATATCACGAGTAGAATTGTAGAGGATTTTGGCTTCATAAAAAAATTGTAGAGGATTTTTTTTTTTTGTTTTTTGGTTTAAAATATTGCTGAAATAGCAGTCTTTTGTTATGGAAAATTTTCAATTTTCTTATACAACAGCAAGGAAAGAGAAATTGTAAATGTGAATTCAGAATTTATGAACACAGGTGGAGTTGGTTACACGACTAATGCGTCGTTGCGTGGTTTTAAATTTAGAAATGTAAGCTATTTCAGACTTCAGAGCTTAGATGTAGAATCAAATATTTGTTTGATTGGTCTTACAATATTTGCAGAAAGAGCTCAAGCGAGTGGGGTTACCTTTTACACCTGTGTGCCTAAGGCTATATATATTTTGAAAGGTAATTAATTGTTTTTAGTATTATTGTTACCTTTTTCTTTGTAAGAAAGCACCGATACTTAAAATATTATTAAAAAGATAAGATATCAATAATTATGAATTAAGTATTAACAATTGTAAGGCCAATTATGCTGTGTGTATAGAACAAAAATGAAGTATTAGGCAATAAAAAACAGTATGTTCGAAAAATGATGTGATAAAGAAAGATAGCTAATGTGCAGGGAATCAGAAGTTAGCAGGAAGAAGTGAGCGTATCTTTGAGTAGAGGTGTAAAGTGGGCTGTGCCGGGTCGTGGGCAGTTCGCATAAAGTGCGGGCCGTGTTGTGCTGGCCTGTGGCCGTTATGGGCCGTGCTGCCCTTTCCAATGAAAAATTTGGGGACTGGCCTGGCTGGCCCATGGGCCGAGCTTTGGGTCAAGTCGAGTTGTGCATCGGGCCAAAGTTATTTATTAAAAAAAATGACAAAAAACTTAAAATTTTAATTTTATATGAATTTTGTGTATAAAATTGATTATACATGCAATAATTAAAAAAATTAGTATAATAAAATTAAAAAAAATATTTATTTTATTAATATATTATATACTATATATTATTATATAATTATAATTTATATAATTTTATAGAACTATATATAATATATAAAATATATATATAGGTCGTGGACCTAAAACCCTAGGACCAGCACGTCCCGCATGGTTGTGTTGGGCCTGGCATGGCCCACGGACCGTCATGCTGGGCCGGTCCAAATTCGTGTTTGGCCGTGGGCGGCATGGCCCGATTTACTCCTCTACCTCTAAGGATGAAGGGTCCCCCTTATATAGACTTCAAGAAGCACGGAGTGGGCTGTGCTTCCCTCCCCTAGGATAAGTTGGGGGCTCAGCCTGGTACAGCCCATGGCCCGAGCTTGTGCGGGCCTGTGGTAGGCTGCGGGCTTGAACCGAGCAGACTGCAAGTCGTGCCGCGAACCTAGGTTGAATTGGGTTAGACTATTTTTTTTTTGATATTTTGATTTTTTTATATTTTCTAAGTAAAACTAAAGTACTTAATTTTCCTTTGAGAACAAATTGAAAAAAATAAAAATTCTAAGAATGAAATGAAAAATACTTAACAAAATACAAAATGGACAAAAAATTAAAAAAATAAGAATTTTATTTCATTTAAATTTGAGTATACAATGGTAAAAAAATACTTAACAAAATGGACTAAAATATAAAAAATTTAATACAATTACAAATAAAAAATAAAAAATTACATTGTTGAAAAAATAACAAAAAATTTAAATAAAATTGAATAACAAAATTTACAATAATTTGAAAAAATGCTACAAAATTATTGAGTATACAAAAGATATTGAGTTCATTTTTCTTCAAGTTCCCACCTGCATCTCCAATTTGATTTTGATCATCTGCTTCAGGTGAATCATTGAGTGTAGTGTCATGCCCTCCTTTCTCTTGTAATCTATCATCAACATTCAACCAATCTTTGAAATAGATGCACATCTCCTGACTTTCATCATTCATACAACTTCTCTTGTTATCCAACACCTTAGAAATTGCACTAAAACAAGACTTCGATGGAATTATAGACATCGCAGGGGTTAGTAGATCTTGTGCCATGGCAGCAAGTATCGGATATTGTTTTTCATGTCCACCCCACCAAGCTAAAATATCAAAATTATTCACTCCCTCTAAGTCGAAGGAATCACTTAAACTAGAAAATTTTGATTGTAAATAAAAATTAAGTTCAATAAATGAACTTGTTTTCCCATTATTGGAACTAGTTGTTTCAGAAGTGGAAGTTGCACTTGTACAAGTTGCAAATGTTTTATGCCTTATCATTTGAGATTCATATATGCTATACATTTCAAATAACAAATTATTAATTTTTTTTCTTTTTGATTTCCAATTTAATATTCATATTTTCACAATATGATTCATGTAAATATCTAAACCATCTTTCCTAATACTAGGGTCTAATATTGTAATTAAACAATAAAGAGGAGAAATGTTCTCCTAGAGTTTTTAAAATTATTTTCTATCACTTCAACGATTCTTGTAAATTGCGAATTTTTTTCTATATTTTGCAAAACATTCACTAATCATGAATAATTGATTAACTAAAAGACAACTAATTGGCTAATAAACACCCTAAATTTCATTAGTTGCACCATAAAAATTGTGTAAAAACTCTTTATACAAATTGTCATTTTCCAATCTTTCTCAAGTATAATATCACATGGCATTTTTGCATTATACTAATAAGTAAGAATTAATTTGTTTGTAGGAAATACAACTTTCTAACATAAAATAGATAGAATTCCATCTATGTTGAACATCTAACGTAAAATGTTTATATTTTAAACCATAATTTTGACATAAATATTTAAATTCTTGTTTTTCTTGCTCCAAAATTTTAATATATGATATAATTTAATTTTAGAAATATGGTGAAAATAATATTTAAAGCATCTTGAATACATAAATTTAGGATTTGACATGCACTATACATATAATGTGAAATAATTTAATTTGGTTTCGAGAGGAGTCGGCGATTTTTTTATTCTATAAAAATAAAAATTAATTTAATTGCACTTACCCGAATTGTTAGTTTAGAATCTTAACTTGATTTCAATGGTTGAAGCTAGTACCACATTGGATATCTAGTCAAGGTACTTTACTTCACATATAAAATCGACATTGAGGAGCTTGTTGACCTCCTCATTAATGGTCCTCCACCGATTTGGGGCAAAGTTTCGTTTTCTCCGTTTTACAGGTCTAACATTGAGATTGACATTTAGTGTATGGGTAATAACATAAGGGTTGATGTTGGGCATGTCGGCGATTGACCAAGCAAAATTATCATAATTAAAATTTTAAAACCTTACCAGTTCAGTGTGGAGGGGTTCCTAGAGGAAAGACCCAATCTACACTTTTTTGTTCGGCACAGTCTCAAAGAAAGGAACCAAGACTATATCTTCCATGGGCTGTCCTCGGCTATTGCCAACCTCTCCAAGTGGGTCAAAGTTGAGGTCGACCGCTAGTAGTTGCTTTCCTTTTACCTTGAGCATCGCCACGTTACATTTTCTTGACTTGATCTACTCCCCCAAACTACCCCGATTCCTTGCTCAATTGGGAACTTCACAGCAATGTGGCAGGTCAATATGACAGCTCGAAGGACATCTAGGATTGGGCAGCGAAGGATTACGTTGTAGGGTGATGGTGTATCAACAACTAAAAAATCATTCATGAGAGTTTTCTAGTTAGGCGTGGTCCTTGCTATTATTGATAGGATTATCTTCCTAATAGAGCGAACTATGAACCTACTAAAATCAACCAAAGGTACGTCAATTGTGACAAGGTGTTTGCAATTCATATTCATCTTGTCAAAGGCTTCAAGAAGGAGGATGTCAGTCAAACTACCACTATCAATTAAAATTCTTTTTACCTTGTAGTTGGCGATGACCATCTTCACTACCAAGGTGCCATCATGCGGCAAGTGGACACCTCTCAGGTCATCCTCGTTGAACGTGATCATCTCTTCAAAGGTAGATTGCTTTCTTTGGACTACGACTACCATGGAACCACCAGTGATCATTATGATCATGTTGGCGAGAACATCTCTTTCTTTGCCTCATTTTGTTGGTCTCTTGGCTACTTGGTAGGGCAACCATCATTCTTAATGAACTTATTTAGGTAGCTTCATCGAATCAGCTCCTCAATCTCGTTCTTGAGGTCCCGATAGTACTCGGTTTCATGTCCTTTGGATAGGTGAAAGTGACAATACCGGTCCTAGTTCTTGTTTGCCGGGTTGCCTTTCATGCACTAAGGCCACTTCAAGTAGTTCATCTTCTTGATTTGCATTAGGATCTTCCCTCTCTTGGCATTCTATGGTGTATAATTATGGTAATTCATGAGGGGAATTCGGGAATGCCTAGTAGGTGATCAAGATCGTCTTGATGACCAGCTATCAAATCAGTTTTGTTTTTGCTCTTGCCTTGGTCATCATCTTTGTCTTTCCTCTTCTTTGTCACCTTGGTCTCTTTGTGCGCAAATCACATCTTCGGTGTTCATGTACTTTTCAGCACGAGTGAGGAAACCCTTCATGTTCATAGGAGGCTTCTTGTCTAGGGAGAACTATAGAGGTGGTCCCTAGACTAACATTGTCCCATCGGGCTAAGCAAGCTATTGGTGCTAGTTCCGTGGAAGTTGCTCCCGCAATTGTACCTCGGGTGCGTTGTCCCATCATGGTCGTCTATTGTTCCTAGGCCTACATGTGGACGTCCATGTGCCTAACTAGGCACACCTGGTCCTCGAAATATTGGTCACTCATCTTCCATCGGTGTCAAAGAGGGCTTGACATTTTATAGTTGCCCGTAAGGGAAGATCCACCAACTTGAGTTTCTTTGTTCTTGGGTGAAGACATGATGAAGATTGCAAAAAAAAAAAAAAAAAGAGTGCAGGAAAGGATTTTTTGTCCTATTTCCCATAGACGATGCCAATTGATAAGAGTGGATATACGTTGGTTCCCTACTAGTAGTGACAACTTAGATAGCGCTAAGTGAGATCGGCATGTCAGATTTGCAAGAAGAAACACGTCAGAGAGCCAAGGGGATGGCCTAGTGAGGGGACACTGATAGTCAAGTTAGCACCGAGCTAACAAAGTAGAAAGAGAGCTAATGGGAAGGGAATCATAGCAGAGTAAGTGCACAAAGAAGTGAGTGTGCCTTTGAGGGTGAAGGGTCACCCATATATAGATCTTAAGGCCCAATGTAGCGTGCCCAACACGTTTGGAGATGATAAGAGTTATCCACCCATTGTTTACG